ACTTAAGGGGGTCTATTTGCAATTAACCCTATATTCTACTATGCCCTCTTTCCTAGGTCTATACCCCAGCTTAAAACCACGCAGCTTAGCCAGCTACTTTTTTTTTGCTTAACTGGGATTCAGGGAGTCGCTTAGGCTTTTATGATAGTTTTTTTTAGTACCGTAATACAATTCTTTCCATCTATAAATTTTCTTAGGTTCAATCAAGAAGATCAGTTGATCATTGTGTATCTTGGACGACCATATAGGTTGCGAGTGACAACTAACTTATTGCGTACTGAGAACAAGTATGTCTCCTTATTGTGAGTGCAGATGCACATGTATATGGATGTTAGTGTTACATCAATTATTTAACGATCAGATAGAAAAGGTGACAGTATCATACTGGTTTAATCTTACAGTAATGTGAGAATATAGTTGACTTGCATGGTGAGAATCTAGTCACTTATCTGTAGAATGCATCTTCACTTTTATTTTTTTCTGCTACTACCATGCACTAACAAACCATGCTTTTTGACTGCCTGCATAATTATTCAGGTTATCATTTGGTGAAAATAATGTCGGGCTTTTAACTGGAGATTCCTCAATCAACAAAGATGCTCAGATACTAATCATGACGACTGAGATCTTGCGGAACATGTTATATCAGAGGTAGTTACTTGAGAATGATATTATTTTCAAAATTATGCTCCGATTTTAGTATCTTCTATACAATACAAAGAGTTTTTTTTCTGTATATGAAGCGAAACTTCTTTGCACCTCATGAACATTGTTGTGACAAAGTTGTGGACTGTGGTGTAGTTAACTACTATTCAGATCTCTCTAGATCACATGTGTTTTTGCCAATTTGCGTATATAACACACATAATTTCCATCATGACATATTTCCCTGAATTCTGCATCAATCCTGGTATCGTTCCTACTAGTTGGATAGATATATGAACATTCATCTGGTTCTCAAACTATGTATGTATCAAATCCTTATTTAGATATCTGATATTTCTCTAAGATCCGTAGAGAAGTTTATTGGATGATAGTACGTGAAATCAGATTAAGCTTGGGACAATGTGGATATGATTGTGAAGCGGAACTAGCATTGGCTTGTAGCAGACCTCTTATAGAGTAACCCTATTTGAGTTTCACACAATCTTCAGAACCAATTATCTTCGTTCTTGTGCAAGAATGGTTTTAAAAAACAAAAAACTCTGATTTGTTAGAATCTCAGCCATTACGATGCCTATAGGCGTTTGCTGGCAAGATAAATGCATTATGATGAATTAGATCGGGAAATGGATGGAAATCAACCTCCCTTGATGGAATATTCAAGGGAGCATGTGGCACATGGGAGAGTTTAGGTAGAAAGTGACATTAGTGTGCAAGCTGACATTTATATAGAAAAAAAATCTGCCCATGAGAGTTCGAATAGAAGGTTTAGCTATGATGTTAAGTTCATTCTCAGCACAGACTACATCCTTTCCAATAAATTATCAGGTAAGGATATCAAGAGCCTTACCGCACTCGGCGGAGTTTCAGGAAGACATACTCCTATTTTGGATATTGATTGTTCTGTGAAAGCGTATAGGGTTGCTCGTATATGTGATACTCGTGTGGAAAGATCAGAAGTATTCCTCATGTCAACTCTATAATTTATCTTAAAAAGCATACAATATGAGAAAATTGATGTTCACCATATGCTGTGTTTGAAGCAAAGTTACATGGTATGTGTGCCTAAATTTTTATTTTTTACATTCATCTTTACATATATAATTGTGCTTTCTTCTAAAGTTTCAGATCCATTTTTATGTAAATTAATGCCCAAATGCGATCATCATTTATGCAGTTCTTGTCTAACTTCACGAATCACTTACTGTAGCTTTTATATAGAAATATTGAAGTACATGCATCTTGTATCCTCTCACTCATGCTGTGTATCTTATGAATTCTTCTCTCCATTTCATGCTCGCTCTCATTGAACCACAGAAACACACACATACAGACAATTCAAATAGAGGTGATTGTTTAGTTGTACTCATACAGTGTTGGAATGTCATCTTCTGGGAGTAAATTGTTTCATGTTGATGTCATTGTTCTGGATGAAGTACACTATCTGAGTGATATATCTCGAGGCACTGTTTGGGAAGAGATAGTATGTACCCTGACCTTTGCTCCATTTTGATGTTAGTTTTCTGCTGTCAGTTATTTTTTCTTGCCTAATTCTTTACTGTGAACTTTTTCCTTTTAAGTGGCTAATTACATGCATGTACTCAGGTTATATACTGTCCAAAGGAAGTGCAGCTTCTATGTCTTTCAGCAACAGTTGCAAATCCGGACGAGCTGGCTGGTTGGATAGGAAAGGTAATATGGTAAATTTGTTAGTTCAGTTGTCAACCTGTGGGTTACTTATTGCTGTTTTTGGTTTATCCAAGTGATTTTCTTCTTCTGAATAAGGAACTACACTTCCATTGAGAACAAAGCACAAGGAAACATGTCCCAAGCAATAAAACTTAGAATTTAGTGTTGATCTCCTCTGGCTTTCTTTACTCTCTTCCCACTGATTCAGTTCTACTGTTATAATGTCAACTGTTGACAGATCATTATCCAATGACAAACCTATCACACGATACATAATATATTGATACAAAAATAACAAAATGAATGCATGATGGTATTGTATAATAAGTGTTCTTAAGGGGCATGGTCCTAACATTGATTGTACAATTGAAATGAAGCATTAAACCAGTTACCTAAAAGGGAAAGGTGTGTGGATTGGCTGTGTTTCACTAGTTGATATAAATATTCTTTTTGGTGAAGTAACGTAGTCTTCAACTTATTTCTTTTGTTGCTTTCCCATTGTTTCTTACTTTGATGATCCTAGAGTAACCCTATTTGAGTTTCACACAATCTTCAGAACCAATTATCTTCGTTCTTGTGCAAGAATGGTTTTAAAAAACAAAAAACTCTGATTTGTTAGAATCTCAGCCATTACGATGCCTATAGGCGTTTGCTGGCAAGATAAATGCATTATGATGAATTAGATCGGGAAATGGATGGAAATCAACCTCCCTTGATGGAATATTCAAGGGAGCATGTGGCACATGGGAGAGTTTAGGTAGAAAGTGACATTAGTGTGCAAGCTGACATTTATATAGAAAAAAAATCTGCCCATGAGAGTTCGAATAGAAGGTTTAGCTATGATGTTAAGTTCATTCTCAGCACAGACTACATCCTTTCCAATAAATTATCAGGTAAGGATATCAAGAGCCTTACCGCACTCGGCGGAGTTTCAGGAAGACATACTCCTATTTTGGATATTGATTGTTCTGTGAAAGCGTATAGGGTTGCTCGTATATGTGATACTCGTGTGGAAAGATCAGAAGTATTCCTCATGTCAACTCTATAATTTATCTTAAAAAGCATACAATATGAGAAAATTGATGTTCACCATATGCTGTGTTTGAAGCAAAGTTACATGGTATGTGTGCCTAAATTTTTATTTTTTACATTCATCTTTACATATATAATTGTGCTTTCTTCTAAAGTTTCAGATCCATTTTTATGTAAATTAATGCCCAAATGCGATCATCATTTATGCAGTTCTTGTCTAACTTCACGAATCACTTACTGTAGCTTTTATATAGAAATATTGAAGTACATGCATCTTGTATCCTCTCACTCATGCTGTGTATCTTATGAATTCTTCTCTCCATTTCATGCTCGCTCTCATTGAACCACAGAAACACACACATACAGACAATTCAAATAGAGGTGATTGTTTAGTTGTACTCATACAGTGTTGGAATGTCATCTTCTGGGAGTAAATTGTTTCATGTTGATGTCATTGTTCTGGATGAAGTACACTATCTGAGTGATATATCTCGAGGCACTGTTTGGGAAGAGATAGTATGTACCCTGACCTTTGCTCCATTTTGATGTTAGTTTTCTGCTGTCAGTTATTTTTTCTTGCCTAATTCTTTACTGTGAACTTTTTCCTTTTAAGTGGCTAATTACATGCATGTACTCAGGTTATATACTGTCCAAAGGAAGTGCAGCTTCTATGTCTTTCAGCAACAGTTGCAAATCCGGACGAGCTGGCTGGTTGGATAGGAAAGGTAATATGGTAAATTTGTTAGTTCAGTTGTCAACCTGTGGGTTACTTATTGCTGTTTTTGGTTTATCCAAGTGATTTTCTTCTTCTGAATAAGGAACTACACTTCCATTGAGAACAAAGCACAAGGAAACATGTCCCAAGCAATAAAACTTAGAATTTAGTGTTGATCTCCTCTGGCTTTCTTTACTCTCTTCCCACTGATTCAGTTCTACTGTTATAATGTCAACTGTTGACAGATCATTATCCAATGACAAACCTATCACACGATACATAATATATTGATACAAAAATAACAAAATGAATGCATGATGGTATTGTATAATAAGTGTTCTTAAGGGGCATGGTCCTAACATTGATTGTACAATACTCATCGACGTTGCCGTCGGAGTAACCTATCGGCTGCTCACATGGGTTCTCAGGTATAACGCGCTCGTCTGTCCGATGCGTCTTCTTCTGAGTAAACATTGCCTTGTTGGTCTCTGCAAGAGTCGCACGTTTGGAATCACACCTTTATTCGACTATCAGAGGTCATCGGAAACAATTAGGATTAATCATCCTAATGACTTTGTCAGGTTCTCTATATTTTGTTATTCTCTATTTTCTATGATTTATTAATTAAATTCTAAACCAAAGTTTATGATGTTTTCCATTTATCTAGTCGATATGTGCCTCCAGTAATAAAAAAAAGACTTCTTTTATTCCTTGATTCCTTATCGTTACATAACAATTTTGTCACTTACATGAATCTTTCTTTTCATCGCTCTGCTAACCAGTCCCCTTTCAGTTATAGGAGAATCTTACTAAACTTAATTTCTTCTAGTAACATAAGCAATTTGGTTAATTTTTTCTCTTTACTACATATGAGTTAGCTAGGAAAAGATAAGAAAGGCACCATTCTGCACCATTTTAATTTAGTAAAATTGAAAAATCTTTGTTTGCTGAAAAGGCACAGTTGCTGTTAATTTCATGATTATTAATCATACAAAAAATTTTCTTTCAGGGTTTTGTTTCAACATATTTAAAGAAAAACCTCTGATTTGGTATAGCAGTTATATAGCTGATATTTATTGAATGAAAGTTAGGTATATATTTTTTAATTTTTAAATCTATTATCTATGAAAAGTAAAAATGGTAATTTCATGTTATACAGACTCTATCTTAGTTTATCCGAGTGTGGATCGGCGTGAACACTAAGATTGGCCTCCTAGTGGGATTGGCGTGAACTAGAAACAAAGAATTTGACAAGCTCATAGTCTGCCTTCCTGGATATTGTTCCTCTTATAGTCTTCAATTTTATATTGATTGTCTTTGCATGTATTTTTAGCTTGACCTTTATGTAACCTGTTTTGTTCATTGTATCTTCTTTTTAGCTTGTTTCAACAAACATACGTCATTCTTCTTACTTAAGTTCTTCTTTTTTGAAAAAAAAGATTCATGGTAAAACAGAGTTGGTTACTTCCAATAAGCGACCTGTTCCGCTAACTTGGCATTTCTCGATGAAGAATTCTATGGTCCGACTTCTTGATGAGAAAGGAAAGAAGATGAATAGGTATTTCACTCTTCTTTTATGTACTATACTATTCTTGGGTATCATTGTATTGAAAAGATTAATTTTCTGTTTAAATTCTCTCTAAATTATTTCTTATGAAAGGCTGTGAATTTAACTTCTGACTTTCTATCTGCTGATTTAAAGTCAATAAAAAATGTTTTTTAGTCAGTTTCATGTATATGCATGAACCTGTCCTCCCATTATTTTCTTTTGAGCAACTTGCGCACTGAGAGTTTGTTATTTTCTTTGTTCTTTTACTTATTTATATGATTTTCTTGGGATCCTTGGGTTCACTACAAGTAAATAATACCTAGATTCTTCTCTGTAAGAGGCATTCATGATATTTTATTATAATTTGCTAAATACTGCAAGATACAAAAAATTTGATGCCAAGCCATGGAACTACTGATTACAAGTAGATTGTGCATGTGAGATGTCCAAGGCACTATAAACCTAACTAGTTGTCTTGAGCTACCATCTAAGACTTGAAGTTCTTCAGTATCATTTATAATCCACTTTCATATGTGTATTGACAAATATAAACATATGATGCTCGTTAGATATGTGATACCGATTAGTTTAAGATACTGGATCTTTTGCACATGTAATTCATGTGGAATTCGAATTTTTTTTGAGTTTTATGGGACGAGTTATAGTAATAATTTCGTTGAAATATAATTAAAGATAATTTATTTGGAGACCTCTGGAACAAGTCCTAAATTTTTTTTTTTTTTGAGTTTTATGGGGACGAGTTATAGTAATAACATAAGTCTTCTTGTTTGGAGACCTCTGAAAGAAGTCCTAAATAATTTAAATTGTAAATCTGTGAAATAGACAGCCATGCGAGTAGTATAACATCAGCCATGGACAGGAGAGAGCTTTGGCAATATATTTAGAGATGAATATGACTAAGGATGGTCCAAAATGTGCAGACATATTTATTGAGTAAACATGCATATAAGTGAAATAATGTTACTGCAACGTCATGACTTACATATTAACTTCTATATGTTTTTTCATGTTAATATATGAAAAGGCTAAATTTGAAATTTGTGCTTACTTTCCTTGTCTGTCAATTGTCTTACTTAACAGTATAAGGTTAGCATCCGTATCCAATCTGAATCTGGATTCTCTTTTGTCATATATTGATATTGAGTTCACACGCCCACAACATCAACAATGATATCTATAGCCATTAGAAAGAATGAACAAATATCTGGCTGCTCCTCTATTCATGTACACCGATAGTAATCTATAAAGTGCAACATTACTTCATCTGCTTTGTGTTCTTTTTATTATGAGACCTATCTATGTGCTTGTGTTGTCTGGAAAGTCTCACCTTAATGATATGACTGATCAGGCATACACATGCCTGAATATTGAAATATCATGCAAAATTCACTCTGTTCAAAGTTAACACTGTTTTAATTTTATTGCAAATTCTTGATTTCCAGTGTTTCTCAATCACTTAGGGAAGTTTCAATGGTTCTTGCAATGTAATCTTTACAGGAAGCTGTCACTCAATTATATGCAATCTTCTACGTCAAGACCAGAAGCATACAGTGAAAGTAATAAACGGAAATACAGAACAGGAAAACCTGATTATGGCATCAATAAGGCTTCTAGTATTTCACGGCAGGCCTCGTTGTCAAAGGGTGAAATAAACTCTCTACGCCGTTCCCAAGTATGATGTCCAGAATCCAGATTAAATTTGCTGTGTTTTTAGTTATTTTGGTCTTTCTTGATGTCCTAGTTTATAGGTACTCACCAAAAGTTCATCATGCTTATGATCAGTATACCAATGTGAAAGTTTCCATTTCCTATGGTAATTATCTTGTTATATTTAAATGCTTTTCATCCCTTACCTCAGGTTCCTCAGATACGAGATACCTTACGACATCTGAACGCTAAGAATATGCTTCCAGCCATTTGGTTTATTTTTAGTCGAAGAGGATGTGATGCTGCCGTGCAGTATGTTGAAGATAGCAAACTTTTAGATGAGTGTGAAGCGGGTGAAGTTGAACTGCGGCTAAGAAAATTCAGAATGCAGTATCCTGATGCTGTCAGGGAAGTTGCTGTAAAAGGACTTTTGAATGGCATCGCTGCACATCATGCTGGATGTTTACCTCTTTGGAAATCATTTGTTGAAGAACTATTTCAGCTAGGTCTTGTTAAGGTTGTTTTTGCTACTGAAACACTAGCTGCTGGGATTAATATGCCTGCTAGGACTTCCGTTATTGCATCTCTTAGCAAAAGGGTTGATGCAGGACGTGCATTTCTGAGCTCAAATGAGCTACACCAAATGGCAGGGCGTGCTGGGCGGAGAGGTATTGATGAAGCTGGTCATGTTGTTCTTCTTCAGACTCCCTTCGAAGGAGCTGAAGGGTGTTGTGAGCTCCTGTTTTCTGGTCTCGAGCCTCTTGTTTCTCAATTTACTGCTTCTTATGGGATGGTCTTAAATCTTCTCGCGGTCTGTATTATTTCTATTAGTTCTTTTTGTAGTACTACAAGGACATGGTTAACTGATGAATTACGTGTGTTACACTTTAAATGTTCCATAGGGTGCAAAAATCACTCGTAAATTGAAGGAACAGGATGAAGTGAATGCTCTGCATTCAGGAAGAACACTGGAAGAAGCTCGAAAACTAGTGGAGCAAAGCTTTGGAAATTATGTTGGAAGCAATGTTATGGTTGCTGCTAAGGAGGAGCTTACTAAGATACAACATGAAATTGGATTACTTTCTTTGGAAGTTGGTGAAGATGCTGTGGATAGGAAATGCCGGGAGCAGTTATCAGAGGCAGAATATGATGAAATTTCTAACCTCCAGGAAGAATTAAGGGTAAGTCTTTTTGCTGCCTTTTCTGTTAGTTCAGTTTGGTATTTTCACCCTTCTGGTTACTTCTCTGTCAACGGATGGTCTACACTGTTCCCTTTATTCACCATTGTTTATATTGATTAAAATTATCCTACATGGTTCATATGACACCTACTTTATAAGTCTATATATTTTTCGCTTTCTTTTTTTTATAACTTTCAATTTTCCTCTCTTACTTGATTCATGCATTTGTATGGAATTCTTTGAAAGTCTGCTACTTCCATCAGCCAGCATAATGTCTTTGAGACCAATTATCCTTGTAGTACATCTGTCGTTCAAATATTCTATATAATGGATATGGATGCTAAGTTGTTGGTGTCCGAAGTTAACTGAAACTGCAAGTTAGATGCTTTTAGGTTAAAGCAATCACCTCAAGGTCATTCTGGAAAAAATTTACTTCTTGTGCACATCTTAATTGTGTGAAGAAGAGTCAGCCGTTTATTGAATTTTTAGATCTTATCTATTCCTAAAGTTTGAGCAATAACCAATGTTTACTCTTCAGAAGGCTGGATGTCGTCTATGCATTGAATCAACACCCTTGAACTTTCAGTTATATTGGTCTAGGTATAAGGCAGGATTCTTTTCTCTACAACTTTCTCTAGTCCTGTTTGGACTTGAGATTATGTCAAGGCAACGGCCTTCTGCAACCTCTTGGTGCTGTATCATTAAAAAAATAAATAAAGAACTTAGGCGTTGAAAACTGAATACTACCACTGCAGACTACAACAGTGGCTCCTCTCTTACACCATAGGAGCCCAAGTAGCATGCATGTGGACATATGACATGAGACATAGAAACTCTTCAGAAAGTAGGATACGGAGACATTGCAACACGCCAATATGCTCTCTCCTGAGTCTCGCCCACGCCCCTACAACCCCAGCCCCACACGCATATACAAACACCGTAACCAAAAAAAGAAATCCCAACCCCATGCCCTCTCCGAATGGGAAGGTATTCCACCACAGTGATGGCTGTAATCTCAGGAATAAGAGCGGAGATCACCATATGTTTTTATGTGTTTATGTTCTGGGTTGGATTGAATGATGAACAAGATGTGGGTTCCTTGGTTATAATATATGTGTGATGGAAAAATTGCATTACATGTTTCTTGTCATCACAAGAGGAGGTGAAGAGAGTTCAAACAAGAGGAGGTCAAAACAGTTCAATGATTAATATTCATGGTTAAAGGAACATTAGGAGGAAGGAAACAGTTAGACGAGGAACACCTATGGTTGACAAAGGAATGTAACTCATAGCAATAGCGATGATTGTCACCCGCAATTGCTGACAGATGCAATTGTATCCAAGGCAAAAAAATTTATTAAAAATGTGACGGGCCCCCAAATTAATTGCACCGAAAGAAGCCGCACCAAAAAGAAAAAAATTATTAAAAATTTGTTAATATTGTTTTCCCGACTGCTATAAATAGGCCTAAAATTATTCAGAAAAAATCCATCCCAGAAACAATAACTCCACATATAGAAGAGTGAGAAAAATAGAGAGTTTCTCATTGTAAAGAGATTGTAACTCCAAAGTTTTTCTTCATAGTGGATTCTTCTATCCTTACCCGTGGTTTTTAACCTAAATTTATTTAGGGGGTTTTTTACGTAAATCTGTATGTTTATTTTATTACTTCTGTTCTACTATTCGCTAGGATCCTGTTCTATTGGGCTCTGGGTTTGTCCCTACAAGTGGTATCAGGGTGTGTATCTGCTTATCTTATGCTCTGTGGCTGTCACTAAAAGTGGATCTTCTACATCAAAAAATAAATTAGATTATCATTTACCTTTTGAAGGCATTGGGCACTATTCACGAGTACAATACTATTCACGAGTACGGTACTATTCACGAGTACAGTATTATTCACAAGTACGGTTACCATTCATGAGTATGGTTATTGTTCATGTGAAATAGTAGAAGTTACTGTTCATAGTAGAAGCAATAACGATAAAGTTCGAGATTAAGAAATTCAACAAGAATAATTTCTCATTGTGAAAGTTAAAGATAAAGGTTAACTTAAGAAAAGATAATTATCTAGCGGTCATCGGTGCAAGACCGGACGACATCATAGATGATAAGAAGTGGAACGAGATGGACGAAAATACTATTACAAATCTTCATCTAGCATTAACAGACGGGGTGTTATCAAGCATAGAAGAGAAGAAGACAGCAAATGAGATCTAGGATACTCTAACAAAGCTATATGAAGTCAAATCCTTGCACAACAAAATCTTCTTAAAAAGAAGACTTTACACTCTAAGGATTGTGAAATCTACATCGATAACTGATCACATCAACATCCTAAATACACCGTTCTCCCAACTCATAATGTTGAGGCATACAATCGGTGTGAATGAACGTGCAAAACTTCTACTTCAGAGTCTACCTGACTCGTATGATCAGCTCATCATCAACCTAACAAACAACGTTATTACGGATAATCTAGTCTTTGATAACGTTACAGCCGTTGTTCTGGAGGAAGAAAACCGACACAAGAACAAGACAGGCAAGCAAGTTCGCAACAAGCGGAGGTCTTATCGGTGACGAGAGGAAGATCAACGGAACGTGGCTTTAGTGGAAGTCATATCCATGGTAGATCAAAATCAAAAACTAAGAAGAATACCAAATGCTACAATTGTGGCAAAAGGGGTACGTGAAATCGGAGTGTTGACACAATAAGAAAAATGATGATAAAAAATCTTCAAAGCCATTAACATCTCAAGGATACGTTGTCAGCACATCAGATGATGGTAAAATTCTATACAATAGAGCAACCACTATTGATGAAGGCAGAAATAAGTTCGTTGATATCTGGCTTATAGATTCAGTAGCTTCTTGGCACATGACCTCTCAGAGAGAATGGTTCCACAAATATGAACCTATCTCATCTCAGAAAGAATGGTTCCACAAATATGAACCCATCTCAGGAGGATCTGTATTTATGGGCAATGGTCATACCTTAAAAATTTTTGGTATTGGTATTGTCAAAATTAAAATGTTTGATAGTACAATATGCACCATTCAAGATGTACGACACGTGAAAAACTTGAAGAAGAATTTGTTGTCTTTAGAACAATTGGATGAGCTAGGATGCAAGACCCATATAGAAAATGGAATCATAAAAATTATTAGAGGGACGTTTATTATGATAAAATGAGAAAAAATACCTGTAAATCTATATATGCTCAAGGGAGAAACCCTGTCGGAACTGATTCATGTGTGACATTAACTAGCTATGGAGAAGAACAAATCATGATGTGGCATCGTAAACTAGCCTACATGTCAAAACGAGACTTGAAGATTCTCTTTGATCAAAAGCTGCTTTCTAGGCTAAAATCGGTAGTTCTTCCCTTCTGCGGGCATTGTGTTACAAGTAAGCAGCATTTGCTGAAGTTTAACACATCGAGTTCTAGAAGCAAGATTATTCTGGAATTGATTTATTCTGATGTATAGCAAGCACCAGTTACATCCATAGGAGTAGTAAAGTACTATGTTATTTATTGATGATTATTTTAGGAGATGTTGGGTGTACCCTATCAAGAAGAAGGCATATGTGTTCTCAGTCTTTAAAGCTTACAGAACGTGAGTCGAGCTTGAATCTGAAAAGAAGATCAAAGTGTTTGAGGTCAGATAATGAAGGAGAATACACAAACGGTGAATTTCCTGCATTCTGCAAGCAAGAATGCATCAAAAGATAATTCAGTACTGCATACACTCAACAAAATAGAGTAGCGGAGCAGATGAGCAGAACTTTGTTGGAAAGAATAAGAGCAATGTTGGTAACTACAAATCTGGATAAAATCTTTTAGGCAGAAGCAGTAAAAACCGCGTAGTGAATCGATTTTTATCAACCGTAATACAGTTAAAGATGCTGATGAAGATGTGGACCGACAAGCTAGTTGATTATTCCAACCTCCATATATTCGGAAGTCCAGTGTACGTAATGTACAATGCCCAAGAAATTACAAAGCTAGATTTAAAATTCAAAAAATATATATTCTTAGGGTATGCTGACGGAGTAAAAATGTATCGCTTGTGGGATCCCACTGTCCGTAAGGTTATTGTCAGTAAAGATGTTATCTTTGTATAGAACCAACTACAAAGTAAAGAAAAAGAAAATAGTTCAAGAAAGAACTCAAAGACTGTAGCTGTTTAGGTAAAAAATGATTCAAATTCTTCTAAAACAACACTAGAAAATGATGTATAAGAACCAGTCGAGTCCGAGGCTCCAGAAGTTCGAAGGTCAACTCGTGAGAGAAGACCACCGACTTGATACTCAGAATATATTACAGAGAGTAATATTGCATATTGTCTTCTAATAGAGGATGGATAGCCATCTTTTCATGAATCTATAAATAACACAGATGCATCTTTGTGGATGATAGCAATGCAGGATGTAATTGAAGCTCTCCATAAGAATAAGACTTGGGTACTTGTATCACTACCGCAAGGAAAAAAGACTATTGAAAATAAATGAGTCTATAAGATCAAGCGAAATGACGATGATCAAGTGGAGCAATATCATGCTAAATTAGTGGTAAAAGGATATGTTCAGAAAGAAGGTATTGATTTTAATAAAATATTTTTTCTTGTAGTTTCACTTACATCAGTCCGAATACTTATGAGCGTTATATTTGACTTACGTCTAGAGCAGCTAGATGTTAAACAACGTTTCTTTTTGGAGACCTTGAAGAAGAAATTTACATGCTCTAACCAGAAGGTTTTGAAGAAAGAGGAAAAGAGAACTTAGTTTGCAGGTTGAACAAATCTTTATATGGTCTAAAGCAGACACCGAGGTGTTGGTATAAGAGATTTGATTCATTCATCATAAGCCTTGGATACAACGGACTTAATACAGACCCTTTGCATATTTTAAGAGGTTTGGTGAAAATAACTTTGTTATTTTATTATGTATGTTAACGACATGTTAGTTGTTGTGTCATCATTTAACATGCCGCTTTCTTCCCTGACTTTATGTCTGGTTCTTGAGTTGGGTATCAGTAAAATCTGCACAGGTAGAAATTCGTAAGAGGGTGGGGTTAATTGACTGTGTGATCATATAATATTAACAGTTGCAGACCCCAACGAAGATGTATCAAAGAATTAAAGACACGATTGGCTAAGGAATTCCTAATGAAGGATCTAGGATCTGCAAACAAGATTCTAGGGATGTAAATTTACCGAGACAGAATTAATAGGAAGATTTGGTTTTCTCAGAAAAATTATTTAAAGAAAATATTGTGGTGTTTTAATATGCAAAATTATAAGTCAATTTCTACCTCACTTCCTGTTAATTTCAAGTTATCCTTCACTATGAGTCCTAGTAGTGAAGAAGAGAGGATGGATATGTCTCGAGTATCGTATGCATCAGCAATGAGAAGTTTAATGTTCATTATGATTTGTACAAGACCAGACATTACACAGGCAGTGGGAGTGATTAGTCGATATATGACGAATCCTAGTAAAAAGCATTGGAATGTTGTAAAGAGGGTCCTAAGATTCATTAAGGAAACTTTAAATGTTGTTATGGGGGATCAGATTTTATTGTCAATGGATATGTTAATTCTGATTATGCAGGTGATCGTGATAATAGCAAATCCACCGTAGACTATGTGTTTGCACTTGCTGGTGGAGCTATAAGTTGGGTTTCAAAATTGCAGCCAGTTATAGCTACATCAACAACAGAAGCTGAATATGTAACAGCTACACAAGCTAGTAAAGAGACAATATGGTTGAGAATGATACTAGAGGAACTCCGACATGAACAAAAGAATATTTCTCTATTTTGTGACAGCCAGAATGCTTTACATTTAGCATGAAATCCAGCTTTTCATTCAAAGACAAAACATATCCGAGTTCAGTACCACTTCATTCGTGAGAAAGTGGAAGACGGAACAGTGGGTATGCAAAAAATTCATACCAAAGATAATCTAGCAGATTTTTTGATAAAAGCAATCAATACTGACAAATTTATTTAGTGTCGAATCTCTTGTGGTCTATCCAAGACGTGAGCAATATGAAGATGATAAGATAGAAAGAATGGTGTGAAGATATGATTGATACTCAATCAAATATTCAAGTGGAAGATTATCAGCCACAATTGATGATAGCTGCAATTATGGAAAAAACAAAAAAGTGGCGGGCCCCCAAATTAATTGCACTGAAAGAACCCGCACCGAAAGAAAAAATATTAAAAATTTGTGAATAGTATTTTCCCAGCTGCTATAAATAGGCTTAAAACTCTTGAGAAATATCTATCCCAGAAACAACTACTCCACATATAGAAGAGTGAGAGAAAAATAGAGAGTTTCTTCTTGTAAAGAGAGATTATAACTCCAAAGTTTTTCTTCATAGTGGATTCTTCTATCCTTAACCGTGGTTTTTATCCCAAATTTATTTAGGGTTTTTTTTACGTAAATCTGTGTGTTCATTTTATTACTTCTGCTCTATTGGGCCTTGGGTTTGTCCCTACAATGATCTCAGTAGACATTAGGGATTGACAATGGTCATTTACTGATTGTGATAGGGTGGAGTTATGTGATTGGGATTGCACATATTGTGTAAATTGATAAGTGTGGTGAGCCACAAAGCACTGTAGTAGTTTACACTTCAGGAATATCAGCCAAGGGTTGTCATGCTCTGATATCATGTTGAACTGTGGCAGAATGTCGGAAATTTCTAAATATTATATGGGTCAGAAGCCCAAAATAATGCAATCTTGGTGCAGTAGAATCATTGGCATATTCTTCTATATCATTGTGTGATGTCCTCACCAAAGATCACTAGCCTGTTTCAGGAATAAATATTTTCTTTCCATCAACAAGTCTTTTATGTGTTGCTGTATGAACTGATTTTTGCTGGTTATGGCCAATGTAATTAAGATGTATATTTGTTGATGACATCAATAGGAATGGTTGCAAGTGTATATTCACTTCCATGATTTTTACTGCAGTCTTACCGGCTGACCTGATTTTTGTTTCTTTCATCATTTTCGCAGGCAGAGAAACGACTGCGTACTGAACTCAGACGACAGATGGAACTTAGGAGAATGGGTGCATGGAAGTCATTATTAGAAGATTTCGGAAAAGGCCAACTTCCTTTCATGTGTTTGCAATATAAAGATAATGAAGCTGTTCAGCATACTGTTCCTGCTGTTTATATCGGAAATGTTAACTCTTTTGATGCCAAGAAAATCATGAGTCTGGTGAGCGTTCATTAGGTAGTCTGACTTTATCAGTATGTTTTCATGGTGTAGAGTGCTAGAAATCTGAAAACACATTTGTGACTGCAATCTGTTTAGCTGCCCTACTTTACCCTTAATAAGATTCCTAAGTCATTTCTATCCGAAATGCATCTTTGGATAATAGGAGCTTTCATATCATCATTCTTTTAAAATGCTTACTAATATTATCATTTTTTTGGGCTTGACTGTTTATTGTGCCTGAATATTGTTGTCTCCTAGTAGTTTCTCTCTCCTTTCAGTTTAAAGGTGTTACCATTCATCATATTTTGATCTTTACAAGTCATCTTAGATCCTTCTGATTCTAACGTGCAGACTGGTGCTTATATTGGAGACGAAGACAATAATGATTGCAGTCTATCTTACTATGTCGCTTTAGGTTCAGACAATTCTTGGTATCTCTTCACAGAAAAATGGGTAAAAGTAGTATACAAAACAGGCTTTCCCAATGTAGTTTCTGCTGATGGTAATCTACTGCCTCGTGAGTCTTTGATAAAACTCCTCATGAAGGAAGAATTGCAATGGGAAAAGCTTGCAGATTCAGAATTTGGGCCTCTATGGTCCATGGAAGGGTCCTTGGAGACATGGTCATGGAGTCTGAATGTGCCAGTATTGAGCAACCTCTGGGAAGAAGAAGAGGTTTGTAATTAATACTCTTTCTTTTCTTAAGATGTTAAGATGATAACCATAACACCTAAAGATTGACTCACATAGTGTCTTTCTTCTTCTTCTTCTCCTCCTCCTTCTCCTTCTTCTTCTTCTTCTTTTCCGGGTTTTTTTTTTTGGGTTGAGGTTGAGGAACAGTATGTTTCTATTTCTTAAGATTTACAAGATCTAAAGGTTATTGATGGTCATGGTTTTCCGAAAATAATTCTAAGGGATATATGTTGGAATTGTAAGTTCTTTGTTTCTTACTTAAGAACCAGGTCGTTTTTGGCCAGGTGAAACATTGGTCTGAAGAATATGAAGATGCTGTACAATGTTACAAGGGGCAGAGAAGAAAGGTTTCACGTCTGAAAAAGAAAGTAGCAACTACTAAAGGGTTTAAAGAATTTAAAAAGGTTCTGGATATGACGAACTTTAATAAAGAAAAGATTGAGCGCCTTAAGGCTAGATCAAATCGTTTAGTCAGACGAATCGAGCAAATTGAGCCCTCTGGTTGGAAGGAATTTTTACAGGTATGGCAATGCATTTTGGTTACGTTTGCTTAGACAATGTCTTGTTATATCATCATATCTGTTTGATGTTAGGGTTATCTATGCAATACTCTTCTCATTATTTTTACAGGCCAGGATTATTATGCTAAATAGACATTGTGGTATGATGTAGACTTGTAAAGTAAATTTCACGATGTATTTTGTACTATGTAGTGGAAAGACCTAATTAGGAATGTATTGGTGTATGGAACATCTATTTGACAGGATATTGACATGCTTCAGGTGGTTTGCAATTGAGTCCTTGAATTATTGAACTCTTTCTAACACATTTTGGTTCTTTAATCTGTTCAATGCAGATTGCATATGTACATTCTTATTATTTCTTTTTTCATATTAAGGGTTGTCTTTAACAAAATGATATGGTAATAATGCTGTATTTCGAATATAATGTATTTCAATAGCGGAACTAAAATATATTTTGAGCTATGAGAGGGAGATTTAAACCATGTGCCAATACTTTTTTCGAAATATGGTTGTACAAGCTTATGCATTGTTAGCTTTGTCAATTACCATAATGTAAATTTTATGTTGTACCAAAAATTGAAGTGGTTTGCTGATATAATGTTTTATGTTGAAGCGCTTTGCACATATAAGGTTTACTGGATGTACCCAGGTCTTGTTCCCATGAATCCCATGGAGTCTTTGTATTTGTGAAAGTCGAGATTTCTGCTGCATTGCACTAGAATTTTTTTAAGTTTATAGCATCTAATTCGCCCATCAACATCCCCCACCACCTTCCACTGGGTTATTTTTAGTTGGGATCAGAACCTTGTGCTTGAGATTTGAAAGAACCTTCTAGAGTAAATCCTCATCGAAACACCTTTCATTCACATCTATCCTGTTTTGTAGATGGATTTTCTTGTATGTTAGTTAGACGCATCTGCATCATTTTCTGTGGCAACACGTACTCTTTCATGGCAGTTCAGGTACATGTGAGACATGACTACAACTCTATTTTTGCTGCCAGTGCATCCTAGACTTCGGATACATGGTATTTCTTTGCATGTATTGGTTATTCATAGTCTAGGCATAACATGATAATTTCTTGTCAAACAAACATAATAGGATAATCATGCCTCTTATTCTACACATCGTAAAGTAACCATCTTTAAAATTAACTTTTAGAGAACTTCTCACAGATACCTTGGTCTCAAAACAAGCAACTTTCTGACTATACAAAATGCATGCCCTATGGATGGCTAGAAGTCAACTAATTCTGTATCTTCTACTATAGATGGTATAAGAGGAGCGGATAATAAGAAAGAATGACCGTCTATTTTTAAATGACTGGTTAGTGGATTGTAACGCTACCAGCAGTAATATTCTTTCTCAGAGGAAGACAACCAACAACCATGCTCTTCAACCACAGTACCACACTCACGCGCACACAAGCACGCATGCACGCGCACACACACACACACACACACTTATACAAACTAAACTCTCCCATGCACGCTATTCACCTCCACGCTCACACGCCTATTCATCCGCCCACACCTACACACACATGCACGCACGGGATACATTCTAATACTTTTGCTATTTTATTTGCCAGATAAGCAAAGTGATAGAAGAAACCAGAGCACTGGATATTAACAACCATGTTATGTTTCCCTTGGGGGAAACAGCAGCAGCAATCCGAGGAGAAAATGAACTCTGGCTTGCTATGGTTCTTAGAAATAAGATTTTGACTGAACTGAAGCCAGCACAACTTGCTGCAGTTTGTGGAAGTTTGGTTTCTGAAGGAATTAAAATTCGACCTTGGAGAAATAACAGGTTAGTGTTGCAAAATTGATTTGATTTCATATTATTTGTTTTGTTGAAACTTTTGTTGGCATGTTGGTTTTTTATATCATGTCAACATAACTTTCGGCTTTTTTGTTCTTCCATGAATTTGTTTCACATTAACAAGCATATGCTCAGGGGACCAGTTTTTGAAATTCCTGACCTAGGGCTGTGGATCATGGAGCTTTTTTCCCCTTTCTGTAGAATCTTACGGAATTTTGGACAAGCATATAGAATGTTTTCAATCATGAAAATTAAAGGTTAAATGTTGAGAATTGCCTAGAACAGTGTCATGAGGTTTGCAATCAAGAAACCAGGAACTTGGCACATGCTAAGGACATTAGCAAAAGTGAAACCCCTATGATTGTAAAAGTGTGAATTACTTGAAGAATGAGAAAGAAGTGAAACCCCTACGACCATGTGTTATAATTTTAATTTCCATATGCTAAGGAACTTTAAACGTCCGTATATTATATTTGTAAATAGTTGAGCTAGTAATACACTGCTACGAGATGTATTATGAAAATAAAAACTTAGCTTAATTTTATTAAGCAAAAAAATCATGTTATTCAATTTTAATTTTGTGCTTTGACATCTTGTTTCACATTTATAGCTACATATATGAACCATCATCCATTGTCACTGATGTCATCAGCCACTTAGAAGAACAAAGGAGCTCCCTTATGGAGATTCAAGATAAATATGGGATAAAGGTTAGTGAAGATCAAAAAGGGTTGTCTTTCTTGCTATTACTTGTCCTGCCCAGTAATTTCAGACTTTACAGATATCATGTGGATTAGACAGCCAGTTTTGCGGAATGGTTGAAGCTTGGGCTTCAGGCTTAACTTGGAGAGAAATAATGATGGACTGTGCAATGGATGAGGGGGATCTGGCTCGACTTCTACGCCGTACAATTGATCTTTTATCTCAGGTATGCATAAGTTCATATGTCTTGTTTTTCTCTTGTCATTCATTTACACATTTGGTCCACAACATTTTACAAGTTTGGTTGGAACCTTAATTGTTGTGAATTTCAGAAATGAACTGGTCTAACTGGAAGGCACATGGTGACCAAACAAATACTGTGTTCATTTTGTCATCACATAAATGATCATATCTCCTCTAACAAAGACAAATTTTATTTCTCACATCAATTCAGAGAGAAGTCAATTATGTTGACACAGTAGCATCATCTAGGTTTAGGTTTCACTAGTTATTATACAGGCTAATGCATTTGGGAGCTGAATCTCATTAACTACAACCTGCTTTTATTTTAGGTCACTAATAGACAAAGAAACTAAACCAAAGATGTGCTTTACTTGTTTCCAACGATTAAAGCATGGTTCTCTTTGATAAGGACACAAGTTAACGACAATTTTTTGAAATTCAGTCATGATGACACTGACACTATACTGCATCTGAAAGTATGTTCATTTCATTCATACAAATGTTGCTATTCATGTATAAAGAATGTGATTTTAGTAAAATGGTCTATAAGAAAGCAGAGCATAATATAGTCCTTATTTTTTTTCCCTTTTTGGAGTTTACAAGTTGGTTTGGGACATATATTGGCATATGATGTGTGTCGGAGCCTCTAATTTATCACTGGGGCCTACATATGATATGTTTTTTTCTAGTTTTTATCATTGTGTACCATTACATGATTTATTCAGCATTTTACACTAGAATTATAAAGGTCTATATGTGGCGTATGATTTTGTGTACAGATTCCAAAATTGCCCGATATTGACCCGCTGCTCCAGAGTCGGGCATCCCAAGCATCTGCAGTCATGGACCGTGTGCCCTTAAGTGAGCTTGCTGGATGAACTCATGTACTCGTACCTCAGTGCAAGCCTTATGTAAACATTGTGAAGACTGTAACTATTTACATGGTACGTCCATTTGTAACATTTGTATGCTGTGTTATTATTTGCATGTATATTACATCTTGTTGTATAATGATTTACGTTCATTACTGACAGGTGCCAACCAACTTTGGCCTTTATGCTGCATGTTATGGAAGGCGAGATTTTTTATGTTTAAATTCTCTGGCTGGAACATGGGCAATGAGGGCAAGGAGGAAATTAATCCCCATCAGGATATTGAAGTTGATGATTATGGATGATGATGATGATGATGCATTCATGAGAGCGGTGCTGATTGCCTTTCAGTCGCAGGTGGGAGATATTCTGTTATTACAAGTTGGGATGGCCTAATATGCAAATAACTCAAATGCTGTAATTGTATATATATTCAGAGAGCGAGAGATTTGAGATGCACTGTTGGACCGCGACTTGTCTATTTCATTGGTATTGGTAATGTAATTTGATCCCGAGCTTGTTTGGTCTTTGTTGATTTCCTCTTGATTAATTATGTCGCTCGTTAAATTCTTGGCAGTCAAAAGCTCCATATGATATAAATGAGTGGGAGATCTGTAGAAATCAATATTGAAGAATTTTTCAGAATCCGATTCTCTTTTTATTTTAGCGTCAAATTTCTTGTGGGTATGATTTCATTCATTTGTAATGCTTTTTCAACTGCTTATCTGTGGATTATAACATGTGTTAATTAAGAAATTATAACCATCAATGCCTACCACAATTTTGGAGTTTCGGAGTTGTTTTGGAGTTTCGGAGTTGTGACGGTGCATGTTCAAATTTCATTGACCATGAATTTATAACAGATTTTTAAAAAGAATGGGTTTTTAGATATTGGTCCCTTGAATCATCACTCTTTTGACGTTAGTCCTTCAAATCTTCATATTTTAATATTAGTCCATTAAATTGCATTAGTATGTTGATATTAGTCCCTATGTTACCATTTCCATTCAAAACCTCAACTACAGTTAGGTTAAGTCTAACCATGGCTGGCAAATTAGCAAAATACCTATCTCTCCCTATCTATTATCCTCCATCTCCTCCTCTCTCCAACTCCAAATAAACCCACCAAAAAAAGAAAAGAGAAGAAAAGAAAAGGAAAATGCATATCAGCATCCTCTTCTTCTTTTTCCTTTGTCTCTCTCTTCCAACTCTCCCCCAGGCGGCACGTGCATGCCCATTGTCTTCAAGTTATGTCATTTCACAAATAACTATTAATTGAAATCAAGAAATGATATGCCAATGTTTTATCATCTATAAAAGATAATACCAGCAATGAGCTAAACAGGATTTTTATACAAGACCACATATGAGGAGTCTCACGGCCACCGATTCTAACTAATTACTACCGTTATCGATCTTTAGACGTCATCATCTTCAGTTTTGTAATAAACTCATGCACTGATAATATCGGCTGTCAAGACCTCACTCCCTCAAGAACTAAATAGGCTTGGCCCAAAAGCAAGGGGCGAAGGCAGTTCATTGAGGGTGGTGTCACGTATTATTTTGAGGGTAAATTGGCTAAAATGATGAAAAATGAGGCTCCATATGTGACGTGTTTTCCCCCCTTGAAACCACCAAAAGATATAGGGAAAAATTGCAAAATAGACCATTTTTGCTAATTATTTAGCAAAATGGATCGTTTTGCTAAATAATTAGCAAAATAGACATCTTTTTGGCAAAAAAGAGATCTATTTTGCAAAACAGTTCAGAAAACATACGGGACTAGTAGTCCCATATGTTTTAATTACGGATTAGTAAAATTTTTTACTCAGAAAACATACGGGACTACTAGTCCCGTATGTTTTCTGAGTCACTAATCCGTAATTAGTTGGCTTTAAACATACGGGACTAGTAGTCCTGTATGTTTTCTGAGTCTTGTTTTTCAAAATCGACCTCTTTTTGTCAAAAGAGGTCTATTTTGCTAATTATTTTTCAAAGTGGTCTATTTCACTATATATTTCATAAAAATGATCTATTTTGTAAATTTTCCCAAAGATATAATGAACCAAACACCTAAAAGTAAAAAAAGATTCCTTCTTTCTCCCCCTTTCTCTTTCCCCCGATCGGTCCCCGATCGACTATGTTTGGTTTGAGAGAAAGGGAGAGAAAAGAAAAAGAAAGAGAAAGTAAAAAGAAAGGAAAAGAAAAAGAAAAGAAAATGATATTCTTTTTATTGTTTGGTTAGAAAGAATATTGTAAGGAAAGTTAGAAGAAAATTCATAAGAAAGTCATTTTCTCTTGTTTGGTTACCTTTCTAAGAAAAGAGGAAGAAAATTATCACAACATAATTTTAATTCATACTTTTTGGATTTAGATTTAGATTTTAAATAATTTATAAAAAATAATTAAATTAAATTATAATTCTATCATATTTTCAAAAAAATTACAAGTTATTATACATGTTTACACAATCTTAACTCAAGAAAAATTGGCAATTTCCTAACACAAAAACTTGAGTGGCCATCAACTTCGAGTTTGTAAATATTAACAAGCAAAAGCACAATCACAATTCCACTAATTAAAAAACAATATTTCTCACATAATATTTACAGAAAGAAATATCAATGAAAGAACCAAAACAAATCTAAAGTAAATGTCATGATATTCCTAATATAAACTATAATCCATTTCTAGTCACAAATTCTATTACAATCAATTTCATATAGAAAATCTTAACCAACAAAGTCTATTACAATCAATTTCATATAGAAGATCCTAACCAACAAAGTCTATTACAATCAAGACATCAATCTCACATCCTTGGATTTTGACTTTAGTGAGCCCATCCGGCCATTCCTGGAATGAGAAACCGTTCAGTCAAACGAAACTGAATGCATGATTACATATCAAAGCTATAAAATGAAAACAAGAATTTGTCCAAAGGAACTGCTTTATATCTACATATATGAACTACAACCAGTGAATGAGAATGGCTTTTTATGAAGCACCAATTCATCTTGCACATTTAGCTTATACATAGGGTAATAGGCATAAGAAGCCATACATTATTAAGGGTATATATTTACTTAATTAGCATTAAGCGGATTTTGCATCATGTAGGCTTCCATAAACCTATATTCAAATTGATAAAACAAATACAGAGAAATTACAATCAAAGTTCCACAGAATCAGAACTTAACGTCCTTTGGCAGGATGGGAGAAAATATACAGCAGTTTTCAATTTTTTGGAAGCAAATGTAAACCATGTTTAATAATTCTTAAAATTGTCAAGAGCCAGCCTTGTCTGCAACACTTAGCACAATTTTTAGCTCTTTGAATGATTCATTTAAATCAAGTTTGTCTTCACAACTACATATAAAATCTAAGCCTATCCCCAAGAGTCGTATGCATGCTTGAAAATATATAGACAGCATCACAAATATGTGCATTCCACTAAAAATGCTTGGAATTATCAAGTTCTGCGCCAAGGCACCAACTCTTAAAGACCAAAAGATGAGCAAAATATGGGTGGCAACAACAATACAAAAATGAAAGCAGAAGAAATCCATGCTATTGAAAACTAGTTGGTTAGAACCTATGTTATTTGTAGCTGACTTGCCTTTGGGTAATATGCGACAAAATAAAACAGAGACAAGCATCATCAATGACAAAGTCGTTCTTTGAATGTATGATGATCAAGGGCAACCAGAACAAAAAGATCCTATTAAAGAGGTTCAACAAAAAATTGTGTATTGATATATGTTCTAACCATAGAAGAAAATTTTTGTGAGAGCATTTTTATCTGACATGCCCCAATAATTGTCTATGTAATGTGTGACACGCAAATAAAATTCAGACATGAAACAGGACCTAGAATTTGATCCCTGTCATCTTCATTTATCAGTTGTGCATAACATTCTAGTTTTTCAGATGTAAAACAAAAGGTAGAGAACAATAATTTGAATACAATGATGAAATTCAAATGAACTATTAAACAAAAAATTAAACAAAAACTAAATACCTCATATGGCACGGCCCATTTCCCAATACGCAAGGGCTTGTGGTAGTAGTTTATATTTCCTATATATAAGCTTGCATGACCGGGAACTTTCTTCACTTCTTTCATTATCAGATCAACTCTAACAAATGTATCATCATCACACTTCATTATGTACTTTGCATGGATTCTATGAATCTGCACACCAGTGCAATTGGAAAAGAAGAACAATAGAATAAGAAGTCAATCAACTACTCTAAAACTTCAATCTAATCCAGCAAATTGATCAACTACTTTCAACTTTTAACCCTAGCTGAAGCAAATAATCCAGCAAACTGTAACTAGATGTTACATAGCAGAATAAAAACCACAAGTATCGAATATGCCAGCGTTGAACGCCATAAAATACTCACAGTGCGATAAGGGAAAGAAGTTATATGCCTCCCATCCACATGGACATGATAACCTTCTAAACCAGCATATAGTGTGAGAACAAACAATTTGTCTTCCACAAATGGATATGGCCAATCGAAAGACACATTCTTTGTTTTTCCAATTAATTTGTTCAACCACCAAGTCGTTTTAGATTCCTCTGAATGGTTATCATCATCACGGATCCACTTCTCGCACTTTACTTGCCCATCAACTGTAAAGACAATTTGATATATAAAATTCAGCTTTGACTACTTACCAAGAAGATAAATGTTAAGGACAAGAAGAAAATGCTCTAAGACCAATTGGGTTTATCCTTCATTAATCTTTGTCTCGCGGGCCGAGACAGCAAACACTGTCTCGCCCGTCGAGACAGCAAAAGCTGTCTCGCGAACCTGTTTTCTGCCAACTGTTCTTGGAGGTTATAAATACCCTCCTAAGGCCATTTTTCCAGGGGGCTGATCATTGTGAGTACTTCAGAGCAATCCAGAGCAATCCAGAGCAGAGAGAGAGCAGAGGTGCTGATCTTACGGCCAATCCTTGATAATCAGGCTTTGACTTGATTTCAAGAAGAACGACTATCTTACATCGATAAGATATCGTTTCAATTTCTCACTTCGATAAACGAAGTCAGAATCATAAACCCCTCACGGTTCAATCAGAATCTGTGATTTGGTGGTCCACGAGTCAAAGCGCTCCCGGCACAGGCAAAGATCCCACGAAAGCAGTGATCCAAACAACGATCCTGCGTTTATTTTCTCAAGAGTTGTAATTTTCTTTTTGTTGTGTAAAAGAGTCTTATAAAAAGGCTGTTTTCTTTGAATTTATTGTAATCGACCGAAGATATAATGAATTCGACAACAGAACCAACTTTTGACGAAAACACTTTCCCTCTGCGGTGAATTCGCCTCCTGTCAGCATCACGTGAGGGGGGCAAGCCTCTTCGTCCTTCTCATTGTAACCGACTTCATTAGCAGTTGCTGCTGAGAGAGATGAATTGTTGATTTCCTGTAAGTAGTTGCAGAGTGAACCAAACAATTAACAAATGATTCATTAATTGTTCATCTAACTTCAGTTATTTTCGTTTCGATTGTTCAATTAACCATAAAAAGATTAGTCTT